ATATTAAAATTCTGACTGTTGGCCCTTTTTTAAAAAAAAAAATTTAAAAATAGTTGTTGGGCCCGGTTGAACCAGCCCAGGCTCGCCTGTCGGTCCCGGGCTAAATGGTCCTGGGCTCGTGGGCTTTTTGTTAAGGACCGACCCACTGTGGGCTTTTGCACCACTAGAGACCGGGCCCGTTTGAACCGGCCCGTTTGGCCCACGGTCCCGGGCTGGGCCCGGACCACAATACAGCCTTATTCCACCATGTACTTGGATAAATGATTTTAGATTACTATGATGAATTAATTAGGCTGTCAATGTTAATTAGGCTAGATAGATCATTGATCAAAGTCATTTAATTACTTAAATATATCCAAGATTCTCAATTAGGGTTACTGAATGTTTTTAGGTTCCAATTAAATATGTACATTTGAATATACTGATTCTCTTGAGCGAGGGTCTTTCAGAAACAGCCTCTCTACCCCTTCAGGGTAGGGGTAAGGTCTGCGTACACACTACCCTCCCCAGACCCTAGTGGAATTTTACTAGGTTGTTGTTGTATTTAATTAATCCAAGAAGTGGTGACTTATGTGTATGGTGACTCTTGATGGATAAATGAAGAGACGCTTTGAATAAAGACCTCTTAGTTCTATCTGCTTTACTATAAAAGGCACATTTTGCTCGGTATTTTAAGACTCTAATTAACGTTACAGACTCAACATGATTCAAGGTATACTACTCTGCCTTTTTTCTTTTATTGTTTTCCTCTTCTTTTTGGATTATAAGTTTTAAGCGCGAGACTAATTCAACTTCTTCTAACAGATAGTGAAAGAGTTGATGTTGAAAAGGATAGAGAAGATAGAATCAGCGCTCTACCAAAAAATGTTATAGATGGTATTCTTGAACTCCTGCCAGTAGAAGATGTGGCGAGGACTAGTATTCTATCAAAAAATTAGAGATATATCTGGGTCATACTTCCAAATTTGGTGTTGAATAAGCTCTTTTGCTACAAATTAGTTGCAAGATCTCAATATGTCTTCAAAGACACGGTAGATAAGATTCTGTTACAGCATTCCGGAGACATAGTGAAGTTTGTCCTTGCTTTTTCAGCAATAGTTTTATCCAGATATTGATAGATGGATGATTTATGTTACTAGAAACGGTGTCAAGGAGCTAACCCTTAACATGTCAAATAATACTACTTATAATCTGCCTTTTTATATATTTAATTGTCCAACACTGACACAACTGGAACTCTTAAACTGTGTCTTCAAACCGCCAACGTATTTTCTTGGCTTTCCGAATCTTGTAACACTTCGTCTAGAAAAAATAACCTTTGTGCCAACTATTGAGTTTTGTGTTATCAACGCACCACTTCTTGTCAAGTTGACCTTGATGTACTATAATGGTACTAAATACTTGAACATTGTTTCATCGCTATTGAATTCCTTGGTTGTTCGTCAGAGTTACTACGATATTGAACTAAGTTGCTTTATGAACTGCAAAATTTTGACAGCTTTATACCTTGTGACTAGTAATCCAATATCCGCTGACAGATCAAAATTGGAAAAGCTTCTTCTTAGCTTGCCTATACTTGAGGTGCTTATTTTGAGTTCATCTTTCCTTGAGGTAAGAGTCTGAGGTGTTGTTTGACTTGGATATCTTATAGGGATAGTCCCTATTCATTGGATTCTTGTTTTTGTATTTGCTTCAAAGCTTTTGAGTGCAGGTACAGTTCCACAAGGGCTTCCTTTTACACTCAACTGCTTGTGGCATCTAAAGCTAGGTGTAAACTTCAGCCAAATGGGTCAGATTTCATACTCTCTCGAGTTGATTAAGAGCTCCCCCAATTTGAGCAAACTTGAGATTTGGGTAAGAAATGGCAAATATATGTGGTCATATTCTATTTAGTCGATATATGCATGATCTAATTCGTTTTTGCACTTTACATATTAAAATATGAGAATTTGAAATGACCTTGTATATCCTTGTACCATTAGGTCAATGCTACCAGTGACACTGTTGAAGCAGTTTCGGAATATCTAGACACACCAGGTTGCTTGGACCAACCACTCAACAAGCTCAAATATGTGGTCATACATTTTTTTAAGGGTTCAAAAACTGAACTGTTATTCGTAAAGCTATTGTTTACTCGTTGTCCGTCTTTGATAAGTATGAGCATTAAGCAGGCAAAAGCCTCTGGTACCAAGGAAGAAAGGAATATTGTAATAAAATTGGCGCATCACCCCAGAGCATCTCCCAAGGCAGAGCTATTGTATGGTCCACGCTCGGATTAGGATTTTATGGCAATTTGAGGCAACCTGTTGTTATCAATTAGCAAATTCTGTAAACTTTTGTGGTTCCTCTAAATGATCAATATGTCCTTCGATATATGTTTTGCTAATGTCTTTCATAAGCATTCTCTACGTGTTCGGTAACCAGGGAAAAGGATGGGACAGGGCGGGAAACTTAAAAAAATGGTTACTTCGGTCATTTGCTTGTGAGAGGAAATAGATGCAGGGAACAGAAAAATTCTTGTGAACATTTGTGTATTCTTGTGAATATTTGTGTTTGTGGGGTTGTTAAAGAGCAACCTCAAAACGGGAAAAACTTTCTAAAGTTGATTAAATGTTGTTGTCAATCTATATCTATCTATATTTATATCTATATTATATTAAAAACACGAAGGCCCTTAGCGAAATGTCGTTCGTCTTTTTTACTCTTCAAAAATAAAGTTTATACTGGACAAAATAGATATTTGATTATTTTTTTAATATTTAAAAATAGTCATTTAATTAATTCTCTACTATTAAGGAATAGTCATCTAATTATTTCCATAAATTATTTCTGTAATTAATGATTTTCCTAATATTAACAATCTAAAAAATATCGTACACCACATAATAGGAAAACTTTTCGTTCAAATCCATTACACACTAGAAAAGATTTTTGTTCAACTCCAACTATATTTAGTATCCTTTTAGGTTTCATCCTTAAAACAATTCTTGTTCGAGCAGCACAAAATTAATGGTTTTGCTTTCTTGTTCGAACAACACAAAACTAATGGTTTTGCTTTCTCTTTCTTAGAGCAAGAAGCTTTGTATTACGTATTTATATTAATAGTTGAATTTTATATTCAACTTGTAAACTTTGTATTAGTAGTTGAATTTTGCATGCACTTATTTATATTAGTAGTTGAATTTTGCATGCACTTATTTATATTAGTAGTTGAATTTTGCATTTACGAATTTGTAAACATTATATTAGTAGTTGAATTTTGTATTCACGTATTTTATTGGAACTTTGAATATAATACAAAAGCAATTTGTATTATAGACTGTCTTAAATTTGTATATAGTGTTTGTAGGCATCTGTTACAAGATTAGTGTGTTGTAAGCCAACATCTGGAAGCTTTCTTTTCGATAATGGTTTTGGTCTGGAACATAAGGTAATTAAATTTATGTGTTCTTTGTCTTGCAAGGTTTTTTTAAATTTTTATATAATTCTTTGTGTCATATTTTTGATTTAGCTTGGCTTATTTTATATTTGATATCTCACAAACTTATGTTAATTTTCATATAATTTTTATTTCATATTTTGGATTTATTTATAAATTACATATAGGTTATTTGGACAAATACGGTTCATAACAGAAAATTAGTTAGACATTCGATCTAAGCCTTATTAAATAATATTATTTTTTCCTATGTTGTATAATTGATAAATGCCAGCCAAATTGTTTGTCTTAAACAAATTATAAATTAGATTGTCTCTTGTAATATTGATTCCACACCGAATAAAATAGTCTTTTAATTATTTTTCTAATATTTAGGAATAGACATCTAATAATATTTTAATATTTTGGACTTAAAATCAACTAAATTTTGTGGATTAAATTCTTTCTTATTTGAACTATATAATATAAACATATTTGTAAAAAAAATAATACATGAAAATTACATTAAAATTTTCTCGCTTTTAATTTCTTTTAGGTTTAGGAGTCCTTTATTTTCATAAAATAATTAATAAATGTTAGGTGTTGGTCAATTGGAATCCATGAAAAAATAGTACATTATCTTGCATAGATCGAGAGGGCATGTCCATGAGTGATAATTTTTACCACTTTTTTTTCAAAAATATATATATAGAAAGGAGGATAAATAAGTAAACAATGAATGGACTTTATAAATTTATAGATGTACAATAAATTAATTCCCTATGATTAATATCCTTCTATACTAATTTTCATCCTTGACAGCATATTCTATACTGATTTTCAACCTCTCAGTCATTTTTCTTGCCTTATTTTATGGTCGATTATGCTGTCAACTGACTCTTATATTATTTCATTAATTGGAATATTATGTACCTGGACTTAATTTCATGTTCTATACTTGCACTATGCTGAAATTATTTCCTTATGTGTTATATTCCATGTCTTATGTGATCTCTTTCCTTATCTGTCTTTACCGTTTGAAATTAACTCCCTTAATTAAGGGAGTACTTCTACTAATTTTATACTAATTGATACCTAGTTCCATAATTACTGTCTGACTTTGATTCTTACCTTATTATTCTACCTAGTTTCAAACTATATATATATGCTCTCTCATTAACACACACAGACACGAACACTTGGGTTCAAAAACTATATCTCATTCTTAAAAAATTTCTGCTCTCTCTCTCTCTTGTGCTACTTGCTACTGCTCTAAGTTAGCCGGCTGTAAGCCAAGGCTAACCATTTATGTTCTCTTGTTCTTTCATTCTGCTCACTATCCTCTTTACCGGTATGTCCTAGTTTCAATTCAAAGCTCCAACAACAATATGATTCTCTTGTTGCTTCAGTTCATTTTGTTCCTAGTTTGCTTCTATCTGTGGTTTTGTTGTGAAACTTGTAGTTGATAGTTACATTATTAGCATGTTATTATGTCTTCCCCTTCTTTTAGATCAGTATATTTCCCTTCTGTTTATTTTTTAGCATGTCTACACAAATCATCTCTTACTTGTTATATGATTACCACCATGGATCTCCCAAAACCCTACCCCCTTTGCATGTGGATCTTATTCTTTATGTCTGATTCTGTGGCTATGTCTAGCTATCTACTTCTGGGCATGACTATGCTAATTCTCAGGTCTTTGCTTAATTGTGTGTTCTATGTATTCCCAAACTCCCTTGACCCCTGTATGTGACTACTGAGTTTACTTGGTTCTGTGAATTGTCTATGTGCAAACCTGTCATAAGGTGTTTGGACTTCTGGTTATCTCTTCAACACTTTTCTTTAGACAGTCTCTATTGCTTTACTAAACTACTTTCAAACAGGCCCCCTTTTATACAGTTTTTCACTAAAATCACTTTTACTCTACTCTTAGTCAATAAGTTCTGCCCCCTCTAGTATGTGTACTGCCTTGGAATCCTTTTGAGAACCCTCTGAACTCTGGCATACTGAGGCTGGCCTTTCCATACTGCACTTGTTCAATCTTTGGTTACTAAGTCTAGGTGTGAGCATTGCCCGAGATGTGAGGCCATTGGAGGCTTTGGGAAATCTGGGCCTGATTGAAGGCTCCCTATAGAATAGCTTCTTGATTTTCTATTTTACTTATATAATTCATTTACTGGCCCGTAATAATTTGTAAACAGATATTGGGGTATTTAGTGAAAAGGGTGGGTAAATAGATGTTTTATAGGTAATTCGGGTAGAAATCCTGCTCATAGGACTTTGCTTTTAAATCTGTTTGCTCTACTAAATAGAAATCATGCTCCTAGGACTTCCTGCTTTAATTCGAGTGCCTCACCAAGTAGAAACCATGTCTATGAGGTTTTACATTCTGTCATGTTTAGAAGCCATGTTTATATGCTCCAAACAATCATGTCTTAAAATCAGTTTAATAATAGATGTCATGCCTATAGGACCTGATCCAAATTCAGTTACAACGAGTATTTATGTATGTTTCCATATCTATAAATCGTTAAAATCAGTGTTACACTTAGATGTCATGCCTATAGGGAGCCCTACTCGCAATTCTGTCTGTTAATCTAATTTTGTCTAATAAATCAACTTGATCAAGCTTAGTTTATTTCTAAATTGGTTTTTATTAAGTATTAAGTATTTACTGAAACAAGTTCTTTCGAACTGCTCAATCTCATTAGATATCATGCCTATAGGTATTAAAGGAATCCATTTCAAAACCCTGCTTTGTTTCGGTATTCTGCGTATAGGCAAGCCTTTAGAGCATTTTTCAAAACTGCATTCTTGAAACTGTCTCTACTCTTAATGTTTTCTGATCCTAACAAGCTTTAAAGAGAGTCCATAGGCAACTGCTAGGTGATAACTAGGGATTTTGATAACTTTTATACTCCTTCTTGCTTATGTTTTGATTAGAAATTTGCACAAAATAGTCCCAAAAGACTCACAAATTGTGCTTGATTGAAGGTTTGATCAACAAAGTGACAAGATGTCAAAGATCATCTCAAAAAGGAGTGAAACTTGCATAAGTACCAAGACAAGACAAACTTCAGGCAAAAACAGGCCCAATGCGGCCGCACACCATTCTGTGCGGTCCGCATGAGTAAGGTTTAGAGAGTGTGATATTCAGGGAAACAGGCAATGCGACCGCACTAGGTTATGTGCGGTCCGCACTAGGATCAACGTGGCCGCACTTGATTTAGTGCGGTCCGCAGTGAGAAGAATCAGAGAGTTTCCAATTCCAAGTTTCAAGCCAATGCGGTCCGCGCTCCATTTCATGCAGACCGCACCAGAAGCCTCCGCGGCCGCACTACATTCTGTGCCATCTGCATTGCCAGAGTTTAGAGACATGGATTTTCAAGTTCAGAGCCTTAGTGCAGCCGCACACTATTTTGTGCGGTCCGTACTAGCCCCGCAGGGGTACTTTTGTTCATATTTTTTAGCTTAGTATAAATAGTTTCTTTTTCCAGTTTTAGGATATCAAATAGTTTTAGAAAAGAGCTGTGCTCGTGGGTTCGATACTTTTAGCTATTTTGGGCAATTTTATCTACATTTCTACATTTATTCTTATTGTTTATCTTAGTAATTAATATGAGTTGTTCTTCATCTATTTCTTGTTTTTTTCTTTAATTATGAGTAGCTAGACCCATAAACTAGAGTTGTGGCTCAACCCTAGTGTGGGTAATTGATGGGTCTTGTATTTTAGGGCTAGATTGACTATGGATGTTTGATATTTGGGCTAATTTCATGTTGAATTGCTGAATTAGTGGTTGCAAACACCAGTTTGTATTTAGTTGACTTGAGCTCTTCTTGAGAAAGAGAGCCTAAGTCTCCGAAATTGGTCCAACAAGGAATTGAGGCGTACTCAAGAGATTGATAGCTAAAATTAAAGGGTTAAACCTCGAGAGAGTAATACCCGACTTGAACTT